AGAGACAGAGACAGGCAGAGGGACACAGTGAGAGACAGAGACAGGCAGAGGGACACAGTGAGAGACAGAGACAGGCAGAGGGACACAGTGAGAGAGACAGGCAGGCAGAGGGACAGTCTGAGAGACACAATGAGAGTAAGAGACAGGCAGAGATTGAGAGAGACACAGACAGACACACAGATAAACACAAGCACTGATCCTCGAACCTTGAGCTCCTCAATCTGCTGTTTGACAGTGCTGAGGTCCGTTCCCACAGTGGACATGTCACACAGCTTAATCACAGCGTTGTCCAGATAGTCAAACATGCCCTGAGATAGAGAGAATAAAGAATCACGTTCTCATGCCTTGACTCACATTTCACCCTCCAATCCTTCCTTCCAGTCTCTCTCAGGAATTAGAGCAGAAATTAATCTTATTTGACCAGTATTGCTCTGACTGTTCAGCGGGCTTCAGACCTGCAGGGCGTCCTGGTACTGCAGAGAAGCGCTCATGGCTTCGTCGAGACTTTCCATCCGCTCTCTCCAGGTGCGGTTCAGCGCCTCCCAGGCCGCGTTCATCTGAGGGCGAGGGCAGGGAGACGGGGCGTCACATGGGGAAGGTCAAAGGGACAGCCAGTGATGTCTTTCGCACTACACAATACCACCACTAGAGGGCAACAGCTCAAAAAAGAATCCACTTTCTACAAAAGAGACCTTTCTTCGTAATAGACCACAAGGAGACAATATTAGAAGGAGCAATGTTACAACACCACCACCAGAACTCACGGGTAACCATCAGGCAGCTGTTTTATTCACAATAATTGTATATTCGCCGCTGTTCTCCAGCCCCACCCCTCACCTCAGGACATCCCCGCCTCTCTCTCACCTCGTCGATCGTCTTCTTGACCTCGGGCTTCTCCGTCTCCCCGCAGGCGAAGATGAGGTCAGCCCCCAGGGTCCTGACGAACTCCAGCTCCTCCCTCAGCCCGTCGGTCTCTGCTTTAATCGCCTGCGCAGGCGGGGAGAGCAGGTTACAGCCGGCCCGCGGCTCGCGGCTCGCGGCGGCGGCGGGCGTCTGCGCGGGCGCTCACCTCGGCCGCCTCGATCTGCTGCTTGATGAGGGAGGGGTCCACACCGGGCTCTTCCAGCTCGCGCACGATCTCCTGCGAGTCTCGCAGCGTGCTGAGCAGGGCCGCCACGTCCGACCAGAACTTCCCGGCCAGGTCCAACACGTCCAGGAGCTTCCCCTCCCTCTCCTCGGACCGGCTGCGGATCTCCTCCCACAGGGAGCGCAGGCGGCACAGCCGGGCCTCGACAGCTGCCGGGCAGAACCGGGACACAAGGGCTGTCAGAACCGGAGGCTGGCGGCAGGACTGTCGGAACTGGACGGCGACCCGCAGAGGAGGGGCGACTCGTACCCTGGGCAGCAGGATCGCCGTGAGGGCCCTGGGCCCGGGCCACCAGCTCCTCGCCGCGGGAGCACAGCGCGCTGAAGGAGGGCAGCAGCTTGTCCAGCTCCAGTCCAGAGCTCCGGTGCTCCGACACCATCTCCCGGATCTTCTCCACCTCCGCCGGGATCTGGGGGGGCTGGCGAAGCCGGGACACGGCCGACTCCAAGGTTTCCAGAAGGGGGTCCATCTTGTCGTGGAACTGAGGGGGGCAGGGGGCAGGGGAGACAGGGACAGAGCAGAGAGAGGGAGGTGCAGCAAAAACAGACTGTCAAGCTTGGAAGAGAGGAAAAGACAGAGAACTGAAACGCAGGCTCTGCTGGAAATTCTGCCATGGACTGGAAATGGAACAGTGTCCCCTAGTGACAACACAGTATCAGTGCATGGAAGACAGCCATTAGGAAATCAAGAGTCCCAGTACCTCGCACTGTCTGTGAATAGCAGAGGCTGACCAGCAGGGCTCCATCAGCCACTGGGATCCTAAGCCTCCTAGCAAATGCATTGTCTATTGTTTAATGAGTCAGTGTGCCAGTCAATCAGTCAGCGTCTCAGCAGATCGGCCTCCCTCTCTGCGAGTCTGTGAGTCAGCCAGTCTGTCTGTCTTACCTCAGTGACCTGGATGAGTTGCAGTTGCAGTGAGAGAGTGAGATGGCAGAGACAGCACATCCACAATGAGTGAGGGAGTGAGAGGGGAGCGAGGAGGTGGAGAGGAGGAAGAGGTGGACAGGGAGACAATGTGGGGAGTGGAGAGACAATACAAAATGTTAGATCAGACTCATGCAGACAGAGCCAGGCAGGGCGCCGGCACCCCCCAGGGCTTAAGCAACGGGGCAACTGTCCAGGGCAACTACATCCACTGGGGAAAATACAGCCATTGGGAGGTTTTTTCAGGTCACGTTGTGTTGTCCAACAATTCGATCAAGCGTGGAATGCAGAACCACTGAGGCGATTCTTAAAGCCACGTGTGTCAGTGTGTTTGGGAGGTGTGTCAGGGCTCCGGACAGGTAGCCTGGACAGATTTTTCAGTGGTGTGTTAGTACCCTGGGCAGGTGTGTCAGGGCTCCGGACAGGTGTGTTAGTACCCTGGGCAGGTGT